CTTTCAATTGATTTAGTGATTTATGCATGAACTTGAGAAAGAATTGCGTAGATTAGACCAATAATAATATAAATCGTGTGTTAGACTATGAGACCGAGAGGTAATTAGCTCACATGTGGTAGTGGAGGAAGAGAAGAGAGTTAGGAGCTCCCCCTTCTTAAACTAGAGGTTTCCATAGAATTTAATGCTCATAAGTTTGTTTAAAATTACATAGAGATATGATTAATTTAACAACCAAGTGAAGGATTAACTTGACTTGAGAAAGTTAGTTAATTAATTTAGGAAAATCCGTCATCACATGCAATAACACTTAACAATTTAGTAATCCAGAATTTATATTGATTGATTATGGTGAAGTCAATGCCTTAGTATCTCATATCTTGGTTAGGTTTAATTTAATTATTATTTTCCTTTTATTATTTTTTTAAGTTAAACTTTCTTCCCATTTGGTTGTTCAAATAAATTTGGATTAATTATTTTGGTACTTAGTTAAACACAATCCTCATGGGTTCGACACTCTTCTCATCATTATATTACTTGGAGCGACTAGCACACTTGTTAGGGTGATTTTAGTGCATCAAAATACAATATGAATTCAAAAAGAATACAGAAAAAACTCACCATAGGCAGGAGTCGAGCAAACATACTCTTAGATCATCATATGTTAATTAAAAAGACAAAACCAATAACATGTTAATTCGAGTAAAAAGAGATTGATTTTACTTAAATAAAATCTGTTGTGATTGAATTTCAAACTAATTAAAATTTAATATAATTTTAAAATATCGAGAATTAGTAAAAAAAATTTAAAAAAATTAAACTATGCCAAAATAAAGGAAAGGGTCTAAATCTATTGATCCATCTGCAGATCGGGCTTGGACACCTTTAGAACTCCATAAAAAGCCTATAAACGACGAAGCCCAGCCCATAAAAAAACCCCAACAAATGATGAAAGGTCAAATGTTCCACGACTTTAGAGTTTTATATAATTTTTGTTTCTTAATTATTTTAAGTACTTTTTTTTGTCCTTCAACTTTTAATAAGGAAACTTTTTTATCTATCTATCAATTAATCTATTAAATTTATTTATATATGTATATTTTTTTACTAATGACCTATTAGTTTGTGTAGAAGAAATTTAGTTTTTTTTTTTAAATAAAATTTTGATTTCAAGTCTTATAAATAAAAAATTAAACATTGAAAGAGTTTTTTCTTTTTATGAGGTGCAACTTAACTTTAAATTAGTCAAATCCAATATAACTTTCAAATATTGAGAGGTTTAGTAAAACAAGTATATATATATACAATTTTAGTTCTTAAACTTATAATAAGCATATATTATAAATTTAATGGCTAAAAATGTATGTATTTGGATGAATTTAATAAATTAACTAGAAAAACTAAACATTTGTTTTTTCCAAAATTGATAGACATAAAAAAAAGCACAAAAAGAGTTGAGGGACAAAAACTATACAAAACCCTAAAGTTGAGGGATTAAAATTGGCATTTAACCATGTTAAAAACCCTAGTTAGTCCCCTCCTCCACTGTCATATGCCCTCACCTTTTCGAAGAGTGTCGGCA